TTATTATTATTATTATTATGCTAATTATGTTATTATTATACTGTAATAAGACTGACAAAAAGGTGTTACTGACAAATGCCTATTTGTTACGGAAAAATCCAATAATTATTACTGATGATCATCAGATGGGGTTGGCAGGTCTGTATATATATATATATTATTATATACACATATATGTATATATATATATATAGAGAGAGATATATGAAAATGTATATATACATATAGTAGAACATGTGAGTTTCTCGTTTCTGCCAGGCGATGGCGCTAGTGGACGCATCCCTCGTCGCCGACACGCCGCAGCCATACGCCGCCGCGCTCTACTCCGCGCTCGGGCGCCACCTGGCGAGCTGGTCGGCGCTCGCCGGCGCCCCCTGTGGTGACGGTTACACGCGCCTCGTCGCCGCGGCATGGCAGCGTCTAGCCGAGTCGTGCTCGGCGGCGGCGGCGCGCGACGACTGCGGTGGCGCCACCGCGTGGGCGCTGCGCTCTCTTGTCGCCGCCCTCGCGCGGCCGGACGCCGTCGCCGCGACGACGGCCGCGACGAAGGTCAAGTTCGCCGACGTCGCGGCGCCCCCTGGCGGCAACGATGTGAAATCCGGCAAAGACGGCGGCGCGGCGCCCTCTGGCGGTGGCGCGGCGTGGACGGGGGAGTCGGGAATCGACCGTCTCGTCCTGCGGCTGTGCGGCGAGTGTCTGGCGACGGCGCGGCTACGCCGGCGCCCCCACCACCTCAAGATGGCGGCGCACCTCGTCGAGGACTTCGCGTCGCTGCAGCTGCTGCGCGCGCTGGCAGGGGGCGCCGGCGTCGGCGGCGGCGAGGACTTCTACGGGGGCGTGCTGTCGCCGTGGTTACGCGAGGCGGAGGACGAGGAGACGCGAGCGACGCTGCTCGCGATGATGCTTACCGCCCTGAAGATGGCGCCACCGCAGACGGTCGTCGATTCGCTGCACGAGCTGCTGTTGGTGAGCGAGAGCACACGTGGCGCCATCCGGTGGCGCTCCCGGTGAACCGACCGGAAAAATCGGTGGAGAGGCGTTCGCTTGTTACCTGCGTCGTCGTTCGTCTTGTTACAGTTTTAAAATTTTTAAAATTTAATGATTAATGTAGCAATTGTAATTATTTAATCAGTGTGTCATTAATGAGTGATTGTGCACTGTAAGAAATGATCACACAATTCTCCGTTTTTAAATTTCGATAATCATTTAGTAATAATAATAATAATAATAATAATAATTGAAGTCCACTTTATTAGATTTCTTTCACTAATCGTAATATTTCTAATTATTCAATGATAATTGATAGATGATTTACAGCTCGTTAGTTGCTGTGAATAAAGATAATACGAAAACAAATAGGATTGCTCGTCTGTCTCCGTCCAACGTCGCTCTCTCTGTCCGCAGGCCGGCGATCCCTCGCTCGTCCACTCGCTGCTGCAGCTGACCGTTGCTCGGCAGGCGACACCTGGTGTCAGCGCATGGCTCGGTGGCGCCACCCTCGGCCGCCACGTCGTCGGCATCGCGAGGTCGCTGAACGCGCACGCAGGGGGCGCCACCGACGTTGAGTGGAACTCGCTGCTGCTGTGCATATCGACGAACGACGCGTTCGGTGAGTGCCGGCGGCGCCCCCTGCCGGCGCGTCTATGCGCCGTGCTCTCTCTGGCAGTATTGCGCAAGCGATTTCATATTGATCCTCGTTTCAGTTGTTACTAATCACACGTATGATAATAGTAATGATACGTAAGTAGGATAATAAAGTTATAATAAAAATATAATAACGATATTATAAAGACATTATAATAATACATAACGATATTATAAAGACATAATAATATATAATATTTGAGTTGTTACTAATCACACGTATAATAATAGTAATGATACGTAAGAATGATAATAGACTCCCTATAAGATGTGATTATATTTGATTAATAATAATAATTATAATTATCATTAATTATCGGATCGGCGCTAACGAGCGATTGTGTGTTCACAGAGCCGGTGATCTCGTCCGAGAGTCTGGGAGAAGTTCTCAGCATCCTCTGCACCATGTTCACACATGAGGAGGAGGAGGAGGAGGAGGAGGAGGAGGGAAAGAAGAAGAAGGAGGAGAAGGCAAAGTTGGAAGAGGAGGAGGCAAATAAGGAGGAAGAAGAGGAGGAGGAGGAGAACGAGAAGGAGACACAGAAAAGGGTAGAAGATGACGAAGAGGAGGAGACGGCAGAGAAGGAAGAAGAGACGGAGGAGAAGGATGAGGAGGAAGACCGGCGGTGCCAGACACTGCGACGCCGCGTCGGCTTCGTCTGCGACCTCTGCACGACCTTCTTTTCCAGTGTCAAGGTCAGTGAAGTCGCGAGACTCGTTTTTTTCTTTTCTTTTCTTTTACTTCGTTATTTTTTCCCAGCGCATTTCGCTTCACATACAAAATTTTGCTTGTTTGAAGGACGTGATTGCCTCGATGTGTTCTCCATGGTGCCCTTGAGATATCTGATTAAATCCAAGGGAACACTTGCCTTACCCTAAACATACTATATTACTTAAAACAATAACAGAACCATTTTAAAATGAAAACATGTAAATGTAACATTGTAAGATGTTAAAAAATGTTAAAGAATAACTATTAACGTTTCAGTATTAATATTAATAGAACTTAGAAGCAATTAGTCTGACTACTGATTACACTGGTGACGAATCGTCGGCTGTGTCGCTAACTCTAGCTGTATCTCTCTGTCGTGCAGGGATGCTGGGGAATCCCTCATTCTCTCTCTGTCGTGCAGGGATGCTGGGGAATCCCTCATCCTCTCTCTCTCTCTATCTCTCTCTCTTGCTCTCTCGCTCTCTCTCCTCTCTCTTGCTGTCTTGTATTGCTAGCATCTCTCTGTCGTACAGGGATGCTGGGGAATCCCTCATCCTCTCTCTCTCTCTCTCTCTCTCTCTCTCTCTCTCTCTCTCTCTCTCTATGTAAGTATATATCGGACGTGTAT